AATTCAGAAAGTTCGATACAACATAATGAATATTGCTAAATTTCATCATTGACCCTAGCTGACATTGTTTACTATGTAAGAGAGCTTACAAGCTGTGTGCCTCCCACTATAAAAAAATCTCTTTTCAGGCCGATTTGAAATTAATTAGAAGTTAGGTTAGAAGTAAGAGTAAACTTTTTAACATATGACTATTTATTGAATCATTTCTGAATGATCTTATTCACCTGTAAACTAATGTTCACAGCGGCGGCAGCTTTTATCGCACTGGCAGCAGCCGAGCTTGGAGTAAAAGCTCCAACCTACAGAGACTGGGCGAAGGGACAGCTTCATTATGCATTGGGCGACACTGGAAGAAGCTTCGTGGTAGGATTCGGTGTAAATCCACCAGTCAGACCTCACCACAGAGGAGGGTTAGTTATTTTTTTTAATTATGGTGTTGTTTTATAAAAACTATCCGTATCTCTAAATATGAACTAAATTAATTGACACTCCGTCACAAAGCTGCTAGTATGCATAACGGCGCAGCCTGTCTTTATCGCAGTGCGCCAAGAGCAGTGAAATTGGCAGAGAATAAGACTTGTGATACGACGCATATGTTCACAACAAAAATGAAAAAAAGCTCATGTTTAGTGTTAATATTTGCTTCTTTAGAAGTATACAAGTCCCGTAAACAAATACACTAAAGTGTCGATCATTATTGCTGGTATATTTTATGTAATTATTCACAGTTCCTGTCCGGACACCGTGGATGCGTGTACTGTTATATACTTGAGGTCTGCAGATCCAAATCCCCACATTTTGTACGGTGCATTGGTTGGCGGTCCGGACGAGACAGACAGCTACACCGATGACAGACAGGATTACTTTAAAAATGAAGTGACACTGGATTACAACGCCGCGTTTCAGTCAGCAGTGGCAGGTACGTGAATATATTAATACACTAGAATCATGAATGTAAAAACAGTCTTTTACCTCCATGCTAGAATGTACCCTCTGCCTCATCCACCCCACTCCAATCTCCACGACTAACGATGGGACTGGTTTTTAATGAACTTTATCTTCTACATTCACAGGGTTACGTCATCTACAGCTGATCGGGGTTATGTAACACATGTGGCAAACTAAAACACTTGAAATTGTGACCCAAGTAAACGACGTCTACGACCGCGTGTCTTTAACCGAACGGGTAACCAAGATGTTTCAGTATACATTCCGCCGGGTATCATTTCCGAGATGCTATAGTGCGATATGTAAGCTGAAATACCATGGTTACGAGTTACGTTACTGATGAACATATCGATTAAACACTGGATGTTACAAATATAAATAGGATACTATTTCAACGTCATTTACAAAAAAAGTCGGCATTTATTCTATAAGCTAAATACTTGTTAAATCAATAGCCCATTTTATCGAAAAGTATCTACTTAATGTTTATACCTAAATAGTACGAAAAGATTCCAAGTTTTCATTAGCATGATGGAATAAGAAACTTAATATTCAATATACTTTTCAAAAAGATTAGATCAATATTATACGCGTTGTGCCAATGGTTTGCAATTATTTAATGCCTGCTAAGTGTGTAAATGTACCTTAAAGGCTGGTACACCCTTTAGTAGTAATATAGCATTTGTATATACTAATATAAATAGAACGCCGCTCGTGGATACCAGGTTGACGATATCATTGGTATTTGACAGAATAAATGTCTCAAATATTTACCACACTTATTGCATTGTCACGATCATAATTCAATTTTAAATACAAGATTAATGTTCTCTAGAAAATAAATGTTTTTATTATTGAATATGTATGGTTCTGATGTATGTATGTGACATGTGACATTTACTAACGTATTACTTATAATATTGAATCCAACCAGTGTCAAGTGTTCCATCATCAGAAATGATATCAATTGGCCAGGGACACATGACGGTAGTCATATGTTGAGTCTGCTATACTTTATTTAGTCCTTTGTTTGACATCATGTTCTACACACAAATGTAAAACACGGCAGGCAATGTGTGAATATGTACAATTTTTTCTACATTGGACTATTTTGTTTTGAAATGTATAAACTGCACTCAATCGTTATACCAATACAAGTCTCGCTAGCTATGAAATTATTTCATTAATTAATATTCTTCATTGAGCTGTATTTTCGTATCGCACAATATTGTTTTTTGCCTACTTAAGCATTTACACCTACTTTGTGTCATTCACGTTTGGGGCCTACACTAATTAAAACGCTGGTATAATATATTAGGACGAGTTTATATGACGTTAATTGAGCAATATCTCGTTGCATATCTATTGTGTTTGTTTGTTTGCACACATGACACTGAACTACGACACGGAGAAAGAAAGAATTACGTCACAATAGATGACGCGAACCTTGCTACAGCTAAATGCATCTCCTGATAGAAGGCGGTGTAGTGCGCCCCCGCACGCTGACCAGACCAAACATACATTTACATTCTCTCAATACCACTGGAATGGGATAACCGTGTCGCATTTAGGTAGCACCAGGATTCTCATTAGTAACGTTGGCTAACGCATAATACAGCGATCATCTGCACAACACTTGATCCTTTAACTCTTACAATACTACATTCGTACATTTTAAAGAAACAAGTAAAATATAAAACGAATATATTCACTTCATCTATATGTATTTATAGGAACTATTTCAGTGATATTATTGTCACCACGTTGACAAATGTAGCTACATAGAAGTGACCAATATCAATGTAAACATGACAAGGGATGACTCTACCTAGAAGATGTAGTCACCACAGAGGCGTACACGCGATAAGCCAGAGAACGCAGAGTTGCCCCATCGAAACTTGCCAAAACGTTTTATTTTATTTTTCCAATTTGCAACCTTGTAGAGAAAAAAAAATATTTTAATTTATTGAACCGGCGCATAATTGCACGAGTCGATTACATTGGTCCATTTTGTACAGAATTCATGACGAGAAATGTATAATATTCATTCCCGGTGCGAGCATGTGAAATTATTTGGAAATGTTGCAGTACTTTTAATACATGTTTTAATATTACGAATGTTTTATAAAGAACCTTTGGTGCGAATGTCAGTAACAGATAGCGTCATGTGTAAGTGTGGTTCTTCATATCATAACTACCATGTACGCAATAGACCTCTACGCAATCACGTATTTGCATATAGATTAAATACACCACATGACTTGTAATAACTCATATAACGTTTATTAATATAAAAAAAATATCACATTCAAAATGTACATGATTATAATAATCAAATTAATGAATATAAACAACTTGAATCAGTATCATTTAAATACTAGACGCATAATATATAAGTTGTAACATGATGCGACGAACAAAAAAGAAGTCTCGTGAAATGTATATTTCGGCAAATAAACCACAACTATCTTGACCAGATTGGTAGCCTTTTTCAGTCAATCATATATCAGTATAGTGTGATATTTGGAATACTGATATTCTAAAATAAAACAAAACAAATGTTCGGTTATTTAATTTAGTTGTTAGAAACACGTAGGATCTCTTGACAACTAAATTGACTGTTATAGAACACATTCAAGAAAGGGTAGATTTAGATCTGGAATTATGCTGTTTATATATAAGACAGAGTTGAGATGAACTTACAGTTGCAATTAATTTCATCAGATCCATCTGTGCAATCGTCATACGTATCACAGAGCCACGTATCGGGTATACACTCACCAGAATCACACAGTACTCCTGGGCAAATCTCGGCTGGAAATAAAAACAAATCAGGTAAACTAAGTAAAGTAAATCAAAACATTTTTGCAACTAACATTCTATTCTATTCTATTCTATTCTATTCTATTCTATTCTATTCTATTCTATTCTATTCTATTCTATTCTATTCTATTCTATTCTATTCTA